CCGCGCTTGCACCTAAAAGTTGAGAGCTACAAGCCGGAGCTGCCAAAGCGTACTTCGCATACAACCCTCCTACTTAAAGTTAGCTGACAAACAAAGTATTGAGACGGGTGGAACACTTTATCACCCCTTTTCTACAACCCCACCTCAGCTTGATTTTGGTAGGCCTTCATCATGTTTAAAGTGGCACACAAGAATGTGTTGTGGATCTTGGATGGTAGTGATATATAGGAGTTTTCCGCAAAGGCACTTTGTTTAAGAGTCTTCTGACGGATTTGGATGGTCTTGCATCTCTAGTAGGGCGAGCAATGGCAGGGTCATGACGTAACATTAAAGTTTCCCGGACACGAAGCAGGTGGAAAGTTGGATCCCTGTAGACGTACTATTTTCTCTCACTACCCGATTTTGCTGGATATCCTCACGATCTTGATGCATGTTTATATCAAATAATGGTTTGGGATGTTTGCTTTAGACATGGTTGACTCAGCATGCCGTTGTCACGGAACGGCTCAAACAATTCACTTGTCCAAAGCAAATCTACGATTGGTTTCCTTTTGCTTCCCCGGTTCTTTCATTTTGATGCGAAAGGCTGCCGAGACACCGGAAGCTGCGGGAGGAGCGGCAGGTGCGAACCGAACGGGAAAGGCGACGCGCCTTGGGATCTTTCTCTAGTCTCCATGGGGCACACCCTCCCGTGTTTGGATGTTGCCAGAATTGGCGGGTCCTTTAGTTGGGGGCGCCTAGCTCTTCAGGATTCATTGGGGAATTTACGTTTCTTTTCATGAACCCAAAGTTACTGATCTCAATCAAGCACAGTTTTACTCAACTGAGCCAACTATGTGTGCGAAAGATGGACACTTTAAACCCGCTAGATGGCTTTCAAAGATAAATCAGCCACAAGCATCTTCTATGGCTGTAAAAGCGCAACAAACAAAAAGCCTATCATAGGACGCGGTGAGCTTGCCTTGCTCTTTTTGATCCGAGGGAACATTTTGTTTAGTCTCCATGTTCATTGGTGGGCAGAGGCCTGGACGTTGCGTCGACTTCCTGCAAGGCTGCCACTTCAACAAATCATCGATTTGTCTGTTGCAGCCAATATGCGTCACGTCAAAGAGAGCCAACTTGAAACCAGCCACGAGGGGATTCCATGCTTTCAATGCCAGTATTTTAGGTTGTCTCCCCAGCCACGCTCGATAGGTGTTCAGCCCGCCTGTGCCGGTGATGAAGGCGGGTCGTAGGTTTGGATGTTGAAGGTATGGAGGGAATAAACCTGCTATGTATGTGGCGGTCCCTATATGTTTGGCGTGTGTGTGTGTGTGTGTGCGTGCATTTTTGAGAGCACCATTTGAGCATTGGTTTAAAGGGAACCACCATTTGGGGTCACCTATGATTGACACGTACCTATACTCAGATATGGCATCAATATGACATGCATGCTTTATATAATGCTACACAAAGCTTTGTACCTCCGTATCCCATTCCTGAATTGGCCCGTGATTCTGGAGTGAATTGGCACCCCCACGGGTATGAGGTTGCCACGATAGTGGGAAAGTCGCAGTCAGCAAACTAGAGTGCGCTCTGCATGATTAATTTCGCAGGATGTGAGAGGCATGTACCTAGATTGTTTGTTTATATTTGTATTATGTAAAATATGTAACAAGCTGCACCTCTGCTTCTATATGTAGACTCAAACATGTGCATGCTTATGCATTTAGGAAGCGTATCCGGTTGCATGTATAATTCCACATGTTCAGCGGTGCCACTGATTTCCCTTGCTCCCAAAAAGATGCTGCTTGTTGCGAGCCTCTTTGACAATCCAACGTTCGCACATATATCCAAAACATATATAGATATCATTTTAGGCGGGATTGACTCCCTTGTAAGGGCCCCGGGCAGCACATCGCCTGCAGCCTGTGTGTTGTTTGGGCTGCAATCCTTCGCGATGAATAGTTTAGCGCTTTACTTAGTTTCTCGCTGCTCGGTCAGAGCACTGGATAGCCGACTCGCAACAAATCGAGCGGATGCTGGATCAAGGTGTTGTTGAACGTCCCATTGCAATTGACGCGTTTCTGGCACCAGCCTTGCCGAGACGGGAGTGACCACAGAATCGTCACTGAGCAAATCTTGGCAAATGGCTTGGCATGAAAGTCAGGGAACCTTTCACGATTTTGGTTCAAGGTAGCTATCTTTTGACGTGCACTATAACATACTAGGGCCTACATCATCATGGCTTTGTGAGGTACGATTAAACCAAATTTCGGATTGCAGGATTAAGGTAGAATCATGCTTGTAAGTATTTAGCCGATGGGATCCAGTGTTTTGTGCGCCAAGTAGACCCTGTCAGTCGCATGGTCCCGAACGCCCGGAGTTCAGGTCACGCATGGCTCTCAAAGCGTGCCGCAAGGCACGGTGCCCCAGCCGCTTTTGATATTGACCTGGATATGGCGCCACGGGTGCCAGGCTGAAGATACCCCTTTGATCAGGGGGGTGGGGGCTTTGTTGTTTGGGGAGGCTGAACAAGGGGAGTCACTTGGCTTCTCTAAAAGTTTTTTGGGCCAGGTCTTTGTTTCCGTAGCACCCCGAGTTGTTCAAGTCGGGTACAGGATCTTCAATCTTGGGCCCGCAACAGCCCAAGGAGCAAACCGGGGAGGGTATCGCTATTTGTCACGAGGTTGCGGGGGCTTTCCAGAGGACAGCATGCACCCAAGCAAAAAGGGATTTAAGGCAGAGCAAGATTGACATGTCGCTTAGATTCTGGAGTCGTGGACCAACAGAGCCGAAGGTCTTTATTTCGTCCAAGTGGCTGATGCTTTAATCTGTGAGCCAGTTGAAACGATGGCATGTTCACCAGTCCTTTTAAGCATGTTCTAAACGTACGTATTTTTGGGATGATGCTTGCCAGGGCTACATTGAATGTGGACGTAGATAGTGACGCCCACCAACAGGCTGCTTTGATTGGAATGAAATTGTGGCATGTTCAGGTTGCCGATTGGTAAGTGGATGCAGGTTTCACAGATTATCAGAGTCAGCGGCAAAAGGAGCCCCCTCATGGTGAATATCCTTTTCTTGGGGATTCCGTATTTTCAGTTTCTTACTTTCAGTAATTTCGGAGGATATTTCTTGCGGCCAAGCGCCGCACGCTCCAGGCTGGTTCCATGATATGCCACGGGCCATTCTCGGAGAATTTGCTGTGTTGACATCCTGGAAATTTGTTTCCAGCCGCAGGGCTTGAAGTAGGGGTACCCTCCACGATCGCCATAGCAGAACGGAGTGAGAGAAAATTGTCTGCTGTATCTATGAATCAAGTGGGAAGACCACGCGTCTACGCGGCTTTTCTTGTGGAGCTTTTTCCCCTTAAGTTGGCAGGCACTGGCTGCGTTCCTTTACACGAGCAAAACACAGGTGCAGATGTTTCCAAGACAAAGCCGACCGTGTGACGTTTTGGCATTCCATGATTGGACATCCATGATTGACATGATTGGACGTGACTTACGTCTTGCAGCAGTGCCCAGATTCTTCGGTCAGGTGAGAGTAAGATCAGACCAATGACTGCAGGCTCCCCAAAGGCCTTAATGTCGGTACCTTTGCGACTCATGGAGATGCAATCGCAATGCAGCTTTGGCTTGAATCTCACACGGCGCGGGCCACAGAAGGCGCACGAGGTGGCACGGCGGATGTCCTTGTCCAAAAAGAGAAGACGCAGACCGCAGAGCCCAACAGAGTACATAGTCAATTGGGTGTGGGTCAAGAAAAGTGCCCAACATGGAACCCTGGCAAATGGAACCCAGGACTAAAACCCGGGGTCCCCTGGTGGTCTAATTTTGACCCATACCCACTTCAGGACTCTAATCATCCATGGTTACGCACGTTTAGCAGGCATCGTTTTGCTTGGCAGTGTAGGACAAGGATCTCCTACTTGTGCACTTGGAGCAGGGAGTGTCTCCGTTTAGGGAACATCCATTGTTGCTATTTTCCATGAAGGGGACTGGCATGGTCTGTTAAACCACTTGGTGCACGCTTACATTGTGAACATCGTCTTTGCCTCAGCTATGGCTGAATGACTTGCAGGCAAAGGGTCGCTTGCCAGCTGCAAGTGTGTCTGCCATGTCTACTGTAACTGTGGTGTGGTGCGGAGCGAGCCTTACACTGCAACGCATTTGGGTTCGTCGGCAAAATGACGTTGAGCATGTGGCCCAGCTCAGGCATAGGTTTTCAACATTGAAATTTTCAGTCGGGAGAAATAGCTTCACACACTTGGTTGTTACCGGTGGAATTGCAGCAACATGAACCAACCACAACTTGTGCTTTGAGGCATGCGAGATAGCAACACTGCTGTTCCAGTCGCCCGAGTGTGCTTAGTTGTGCCTGTCTTTCAGCGACTAACTCTAGGTTTGCGCGACACATTGTCACTTACCTTGACCTTACTCGTTGGCAATACAGGCAATGCATGGTAGGCAGCAACAAGTTTCGACTTGCTTGGCTTAGCCAGGTAGGCCTGTATTTGCCAGGGCAGTGCAACATGTTGCTTATTGCACCCCTTTCTGGCGCTTGGTTTCGTGACCGGGACCCGGATCTGGCGGAAGGGCTTGTACTGAGCTTGCAAACTGAGTGACAGCGCAAATGAAGATATGGGCCCAGAGCTTTGGCCGTGAGTCTTTGGGGGCGTAAAATAGACTCTGAGTGGGATGTGTGCCATGTGTTTGGCCAGCACTACGTCTTCGGGTTCCCCGACAGAAACACCCTGGATATATGACTGACAACTTCAACGGACAGGGCTTGAATTTGAAGTAGGCAACTTCCTTTCGTTCGGATCTCCTTCCTGGGGCCGCGTCTGGTGTCTATCCAATTGCCGGAAGCGGTTCTCACGGAGCTAAGAGACGGCCGCTTCCGCCAGCCGTGTGGTGAAATATCTTTGTCGCACACTCGAAGGATGGAATGTTGAGACAAGAGGACAATGTCCGAAGTGGTCCCAACATGACGACACCAACATGTTTGCCAACATTTTTTTTTTTAAAAAAAAAGCTTTCTCAACTGGATGTGCGCGGCGATGTGCGCGGCGGGCACTTTTTGCCTGGCAAATCGAATCGCGGGGCGTGCGATCTGTCGCCGCTTCGGCCGACGGGCCTGCGCCTTTGCGACCGAGTTGTTGGTGGACGCAGATGGCCACAGCATGCGGCTCATCACCGAGGCGATGCAGGAGTTGAACTCTGATGGGCGAGTGAGGGCCACGCTTTTCGGGCCGCCTGCTCGAATGACGAACCCAAACTGGAGAGACTCCCAGCCCAGTGGCACTCATATTCCTATCTTGTTTCTTATTCTCTCTTTTTTTTTGGGGGGGGGGAGAGGGGGGGCGGGGAGGGTATGTCCCTTTCAAATTCACTAAGAAGAGGAGTTCCTGGAGTCTCCATGACCCTTTAAAAAATGGTTCCACGACCCCATGATTGGTCGTGACCCCTGTTGTCAGGGTCATGGAGACTCCAGGTTGCACTCGGTGCCCCATTGCTGGAATCCAAATGGATATGAATTTTGATAAGGGACCCTTTGGTGGACATCATTTAGGTGGGGATTTATGTCCACCAATCACTTTTGACGTGGTTCCCCACTAAAATTCATAGCCAACTCGCCGAGGACTTCTTGGCACAGGCAGACGTAGAGTATGTCCCGGTGCCCCGGTCGGGCGAGAAAGATCCCACGGACGAGGCCATCATCGACCACATGAGCCGCTTGAAGCAAAACGCGGCCGTGAAGCGTGTGGCGCTGCTGAGCTCGGATGCCGGGTTTCGCGAGGCAGGACCGGATGTGGCTGTGGGTCAAAACCAATGGTACCATTTTGGGGTAGGTGCACCACCCATTTTAGTCTATTTTGGTGGGGATTGAGATGTTCACTGGGGTTACAGGCTTTTGACCCATGGTGTTAACTTGGTGGCTCCCAGCGATTCATCGGGTTCCCTAGCTTTTTAGCCTATTGTTTAGTGGTAGTTTCCATTTAACCCACTAACAGTTCTCAACTTTTAGCGGGGGATCTGAGAGCGGCACAGTTAAAATTGGGATGACCCGAACATGGTCGTTGTTGTTTTTGTTTCTGATTCGGTCTCCCTTGAAACCAACCGACAACAGTTTTGAGCCTCACACACGCACTACGACCAGCCAGAGGAAAACATCATGCAAAACCTATAGAGGTAATCAAGAGTGGTTATTTTCTCTAGTATCTCGAAACAAACTGATAGGGCCTGAATGATAGTAACTAACATGTGTGTTTCCCCATGGTCATAACTTTATTTGGCTGTGTAGTACCCCAAACCGCCACTCTACTTGATTGGCCCATGATTGCCCTGAACGAGCTATGAAGAGGGTTTGCTCCAGTGCTGAAATTATGTAGGCTGTTTGAATAGCGGGTTTCCACTGGATGTGTTTGCCTTTCTCATTGCAGTGACTGAAGTATTGCCGGGCTTTGGTTGATTTACCCAAATATGAGGGGCCAACTGGTTACTTTAGTTGGGTTTAAAGTACCACACGAGCAAAGTAGACATCTCCTGCAGGAGCCCTCGTTTTGAGAAAACCAACAAGAACTGGACACCAGCGGCTCTGAACACGCAGGATGGTTGAACAAGGAATGGTGAACGCCCAAAAGTCCGGGTGATCGTGGCGTTTGGTTGTACTCAGGCGGTGGCACAGCTGGCCTTTGAGAAGGAGGTCATCGTCTTGCTGCGGAGGGCGTTTCCCAGGACGCGAAACTTGGCTCTCAGGTCCGAGGAGTTTGGGGCCTGGGGCTTTCAACTGAAATGAAACTACACCCTTTTCTTCAGGGGCATTCCTTGAGTTTTTTGGAACCCTGAAATGAAGCAATTCACTTTTTTCCAAATTCCTTGTTCCCTAGAACCAGCGAGGAAAGCAATTTGAGGACGCGGGGGCCCGGGTGGTGTCGCTGGAGCCGGACGACTTGCAGTACAAGGTACGGGCGGTTCTTCGCTCGGACGGGAGCGGCGTGGCCGAGCTTTTGAGTCCTTTCCGAGTGCCACGCACGGATGACCAAATCTCTGAAGAAATCGAAGACCTGCTGGTGCAGTTTGGATATAAAGGGCCAGGCAGGCAACGGGATCGAAATGAGATGTAGCCATGGCAAAGGGAAGCCCAAAGACGGGAAGCCCAAGGGTTTGAAGATGCTGAAACCTGGGGTTGCAGCGCCTAGTTCCAGGGGACCCCACGGTGCCTGGCATCGCCAAGTTCTTCGCCGAGCATCGGATGGATCTGACGGTGTACCCTTCGCAGCAAGCGGCCTGGGACATGCACGCAGCCCTGGCCTCGCGTGTTGCCGCGAAGGCGAGCGGTGAGATGGCCTATGTGATGCCCCTGCGGGGCCGGCCAAGAAACACCCCGGAGACACAGAAGAAGTTCGGCTCCAGCAAGGCTCGATGCATCTTCGAGGGCGGGGGGCCCTTGTTGCTTCGCAACGAGATGACGAGTGACCCGCAAGCAAGCAGTGGCATGTAGTTGTGGCTTTTGCCTGGGCACCCCTTTTGTGTTGGGTTCCTTTTATTCCCACTTGCTTTTGTCTCAAGGGGCCAAGTTGTTGTTGGCCCAAAATCCATCAGGACATATCAGTACCATCAGGCAACCAACAAAGCTACCCTCCCCCCAATCAACATGACACCTGACGTTTCGGGTGTCCTGGAAGACCAGTTTCCCTTTAACGGGCCCGGGTCAAGTTCCGGCCAAGTAGCGTGGGGATCGTCCAAAGCCTGTGCCTAAGGCGAGGCTTTGGAACGGCTGGGCTACCTGGATGGCTGGAGCCCAGATCCGCGGGAGGCCATCGTCACCTTCTGCAACTCCGCGCCTCGCTCGGTCGGAGCCGTTGGACAGGTCTGACCTTGGGATGTCAGGTGTGGTGCGATTGTGGAAGGGCTGATTTTCCACACACTTGCATGTCCTGTTCAGGGAGGCTGATTGTTCCATTATTTGGGGGTCCTGTCCTGTTCATGGTTGCGGACAGCTTGATCGGACCAATTTCTGTGATTCCAAGCATTTTGTCTAATTATTGTTTGTCTTTGTCCGTTCCGGCTGTCCGTCTTTCTGTCTTTCTTTTCTGCCTGTCTGGGCTGGGGTGTTTGTGCTTGTGATAGTGTTGCGGACCTCGTTAGGACCCCGGTGGGGCTCGTTGAAAAGCAATCGTTTTGTTGTTATTTTCCGCTGCCCGGTTGACCCTTGCCTGTGTGCGGTGTGTGTGGCGCGGCCCACAACCGAAGCGATTAGTTGACGTGACCACGATGCAACTCCCCGATAGATGGGACACCAGGTTTTTCCATAGCCCTCTTAGTTCCAAGCTGGGAACTGAGGCGGGGAACAAGTGGGCGCTGCGGAAGCTGGGCTTGTTGCCCTTGGGCGACGACTCGTTGGTCGAGCTCCGCCGCAAGCTCCGTGCGGCGCTTCTGTCGCCCAGGGCCTTCGGCACCTGGGAGATGGCGCCCAGCGGCTCGGCCAAAGGCCGAAAGATGTCCGCGTTTCGGTGGACCCTCAAACTGCCCAGAAAAAAAAGTGAATTCACCAACAAGTGAATTCACCAACAAGTGAATTCAGCAACAAGGGAATTCACCAACAAGGGAATTCACCAACAAGGGAATTCACCAACAAGGGAATTCACCCACAAGGGAATTCACCAACAAGGGAATTCACCAACAAGGGAAACTTCGGGGCAAAACATGTTTTTTCGAGAAACTCATGATGGTTCGGGTTGACTTTTGGTTTGGAGGGGCTTTCCCTCATATGAAGTACCAAAACCGGGACCCGAATCGTTCTTTCCCACGCTGGTGCATGGTTTGGTTGGCATGCTTTAAAAAGGACCCCCAACGGCAACGGCCGAGTCGACTTGTTTCCTTGGCTCTCTACACAGAATCACCTCACGACATAATCAGCCTCAGAATGACGAAGCAACATCGCTCATGTCTAAGTCAACACGGTGGTGTTCTTTGCGAAAGTCCTACCTCCGCATATTCACACAAGAATTCTTGAGAGATCCCACACACATTTGCCCAGTTGTTCTTGGGCACTCTTGCTTTTGGTTGTTTGAGGTTGGCTCATTTCTACTGCATCAAAATGACCAGGCTTAGTTCCCAGCACCTCATTTTGGCGCTTCCCATCCCTTAGATCAGCTTGAACCCTCCAAATATCCGATATTGCCTCAGTGGCACCCTTTTTCCCTTCTTGTTTGGCGGCTGCCCCACTAAAAATGGTCTTCCCCAAAAAGGGTTCCCTTCTTTTTCCAGGGTCCCTGAACAACTGAGGCTAGTTTGAAGGTCCAGGGGGTTCCTTGGGGGAAGCTTCCCACCGAGGCGACGGCCGGGCGAGGCGGCTGTTGCTGGGCCACGGCTTCCTGGCCTCGGAGAGTGCGCCACGGGAGGAGGCGGGGCTGGAGAGAGGGAGAGGGGGGGGTGGTCTGCCAAGTTGGGTTTGGGGATAATCAGGATTAGGATCTTTTTCGCCCAACCGGGGCACCGGGATCCACGTTTGCCACGGAGTGCAACCTGGAGTCTCCATGGCCCTTAAAGAATGGTGGGTCATTACCCAAAAATACAGAAATGGCTCATGGACCCCATTTTTTAAAGGGACATGGAGACTCCAGGTAGACGTCCTTGCGCTGTGCCGAACAAGTACTTGACACGAAGTGCCCATAAAAAGGTGATGAAAACAACACTTGTCCAAAACACGGGGGTGGCTGACATTTTAACAAGAGTTGCAAATTAAATACCATAGTGTCAGGAGGATTTTGTTTCATCGGCCCAACCTCCAGTGGCCCCTGCAAGGTCCGGCAGGCCATGTTGAGCTTCTTTAAGGCCAAAGACCTACCTGCCATGACGAACTACTCTGCCAACGTGTGGCAGATGGACCTCTTGGCCGCGAAGCGTCCCGACCGCCGCGAGGTGGTCCGAGTAAAAAAAGCGGCTCCAAGCGGACGAAAAGAAGCGCCCGAGCAAACAAAGTACTGGCAGTTTGCGCTTGTAAGATCCTGATTTTCGAAGACCCCGACGCCCCATTTTGATGATTTTGGCTATCATACTACCCTTTGATGATGGTTGTTTGGGGCTTCAAAGGGTTCATCTCCTTGCTTTCGGGATGGGCGTGTTTCAAGAATGCGGTTATCCCCTATGGAAAATGGACATATGGGAGTTTCAGGAGGAGCCCGGGTTTGTTTTCAGTTGGGCCCGTCAGCCGGGTTCCTTCAAGAGGTATTCGAAAGGTAGTATCGATAGCCGAACGAGGTACTGAAAGTTACAGTCTGCAGCTAGGGGACTCCAAGGTTGATCAGTGCTTGCTAAGCACTTGATACGTGCTTGAGAAGTGCTTGATACTAATATCCGCAGCTCATCAGTGACTTACCCTGCATGGAGCGGTTAATCGTTTGCGCAGGTAAGATTTGCCCATAACGCAGCTGATCATTCGCCTAAGTCTGGATGTTCCCTGCAATTTCAGGGGCTGAAACCCCTTCCGTGGCACGTTCCAAGTGCACTTTGCTGGAGCCCCACGAGTGTCATTGCTGCCAGGCCATGCATCGCATCCGCTCTGGGAAGGTGAAGTTCAGCCGCTCGACGAGATCCGCGCCCGTCCGAAACAAGTGGCCGCTGCAGTACTTGGCCACCTCAGTAAGTTGTTTGTGCGCCAGGTTAGTAAGTCCCGGACATGAATTTTGTGTAGGGCAAGTCTCGCTTAGAGGCTAAGTGGGGTGGTTATCCAAGGAGTAGATGTCATGGATTTGTTGTACGGCCGAGGGGTTGTCGGTAAGCACGCCCGCTCAAGCTTAACGTAGCTTTGCTGCGCAGCGCATCTCAGCATAGCTTGGCTGCACTGCACATGTCGACAGAGCTTTGCTGCACAGCGGCGCCGCTTGGGGGCATGATTTGGCTCGGCACTTTCGGATACGCCGGGTCTAGCCTATTCTAATACTCACGGCTTGAACCTTGCATACTATGGTTATCCAAGCAGCTAGTGTTTGCCCTTTAGTTTCCCCTCCTTTTGTTCTTGCAAGTCCCACCGGGGGGTACAGGCTTAGGGTACAGGCTAACCCTGCCAAGTACCTGGACATATGGCCATGGGTCAAAATCCCGTACCCCCAGTGAACATCCCAATCCCCACTAAAATACACTAAAATGGGTGGTGCACCTACAATAAAATGGTACCATTGGTTTCGACCCACAGCCATATAGGTGTCCTGCTTAGGTCGGGATCCGCTGGTTTCGTTTTCAAAGAGTGCATTTGCAAAGCGACGCCAGGCACCACCTCTGTGGTCCCCAGTGAAGCCTTCCAGCCAAGCGATGAGGCAGGCTTTGCTGGGCGTAGAGTTGGGTGCGAACTTGTTTCACCCCAGCCAGAAGCCCCCAACGACTGCTTGGACACTTAGGGCTTCGGACATGGCAGCAGTCTGCCGGCAGTTCTGCAAATTAGAAACATGCGTGTTTGAGGCGACAACAAGAGGTTCCACCCCCTTCGGAGACGGCGCATCGCACCATGAGACCGGGCTCACAAAAATGGGCTCAAAGAAACGATGGCTCAAAGAAACGATGGCTCACTGGATCCAGGCAAACTGTAGGTAGCGACCCGGAGTCTTGGTGTGAAGAAAGAACACCAACTCCCCATCTTACTATATACGGTATACACCGTGGAATTGTTAGGACTGGCGGCCTATTTTAGCGAACCTCGGACTCACTATGAAGGCCAGACATTGATAGGATCCGAGTGCCGTGTTTTCCCTTTGGGCGCATGGACATATTTTTCTGTTTCTGTAGTGGCACATGTGGATTGGGTCAAGGTTGTCCTTTCCAGTCTTAAAAGGCATGCGGCCCCCAAAAGTGCAGGACTTCCATTGGCGTCCTGCAAACGCGTAAAATCCATGTTTTCTCACCCTTTTTCTCCGTGACACTCCGCCAAAGTCAAGGGCCATGGGCCATCCCGGCTGGATATCTGACAAGTTAACCTACAGGCCCTCTTCCTTGAGGCCTGCTTGAAGTTCAGTTCTTTCCTCTGAAACAAGTGTGGTGCAGGGGGGGGAGTTTGAGTTACTCAGTTACTGCCCAAAACATGCGCAACCACAAAAACTCGAGTCATTTTTAAATGAGCCTCCAAATGGGGCTCCGCGCCCCTTGTGCGGTTCCCGTGTGAACTGGCAGAAAAGCAGGGAGATACCAGTCTCCCATTCTAAGAAGAGCCACATTTTCTGAAGGGGCTGTGGCCTTCCATGTTTGTTGGAAGGGACAAATCCTGTGAGAAAGGGCAACTTTAGCAGGTTTGCTTGAACTGTCCTAAACAAAACGTAGCTCCTGTGTGATGGTTTCGCCGGACCTCGCCTCAGTTGGAAGGGAGACGGCTGAAAACGAAGTCAAAGTTGAAGGATTCCCAAAGATGGGCCAACTCAAAAGGTTCGAACGAGTTTGAGAAAGGGCTTCTTCTTTGGGTGCCCCCCGTTGCCACCAGGGTCCCGAGAAATTGAGAGGGCGTACAAATCCATAGTGCGCCTCAGGCAGCTAGGCAGGGGGACCCGTTGGATAGCAAATAGGCCCAAAACCACCTCGCTGGGTCAGGCGCGAGGAGAGAGTTCCCCCGTCCCTCTCATTGAATGCTTTGAATCCGAGGTTACAATAGAAGTGATGAATGTTTTTCGGTCTCCTGGATGTGACGTTTCAAGGATTTGATTTGGGCAAGTTGAATTTCCGCTTTTGGTTCAACAGATCCACGGCGATGTGTTTTTTTGGCATCGGCAGGGGAATCCGCGAAGATCAGCTTCTTTGGCTAGCCTTCGTGCGGGTGCCCGCCCCTTGGCATGCGCAAACTTGTCAAGAGCCCTCGTTCGTCGCGCGTGTTTTGCTTTGCTGTTGCGAACAGTAGTCCTAAGCTTTCTGCACTGAAACAACTTGCCGGAGTGAAAAAGACGGGAAGCCAAGCCCGATCCCTGTTCAATCAGTCATCACAAGGCGTCTTTAGTTTTGACTTGGCACAGAGCTAAGTCTGCACTTTGCATATTGATTACACGCCAAAAGAGTCACGGACAATAAGCGGCTGCCAAGCTCCACTTTGCTTACTTGCATTTTTGCGTTCTTGCTTTGGACAAGAGCCGGGCTCGGCAGAGCGGGACTTGTCCAGGTGCCCGCTGCAGGCACTGCGCAAATCTTCTTTTCAGCACAGCCGTGTCACAGCTCCCTCAAGGTTTCTTCAGATCAAATCGAAAGATGATTTGCACAGCGCTGATCCGACATCAGAAGGGCATGAGCGATACAACGCAACTTGCGGGGTGATGTAACATTTGATTCCACAGCGTCCTACGAGATGACTTTTGCCAAGGATCATGTAGCTTAAGCCATGCTTTTGTAGGTCACTCAAGCAAAACAGCTTGTGTGCGCCAAGGTTCATCAGGCAGGCGTCTGGCATTTTGGGACCGGCCGCGTAAAGCTTAGAAACAAGCAACACGTTTCTGACTGATGCCCAACAATTTCTTTCAAAAGGTCGCCTTTCAGTTTGGCTCAAGCCGATAGCATTGGCTTTTGCAATTCGAACATGCTATTTGACTCCGAGAAGCATGGATCCCAACATGCCGAAGTCAAGCCAAACGAGCTGCTTGCCTTGACTTAAGCACATACCGACTGGTTCGAGACATGCTTGCCCGGCGCCTGGGCTGTAAGCATGTGGATGTGCATGAGGCAACCGATCTGCTGGCGCTCAGTGGCTATCTCAAGTCAGACTTCCCAACACAATAGCAGTTCTTTTTTTTCCAGGGAGCAAATGGCCCCTTTTGGCAGCGGCTTCCTACACCTTTGAGGAAGCCACCTTCAGTCTGCAGCACATCACTGGGCTTGAATTGCAAGGGTTGTTCGGAGAAGCATACCCGTGTAGCAAGCATCACCTCAGATGAGAAAGGCTTAGCAGCAGGCTTGCAAAAGCTCCAAGCGGCCCTTGCACTCACTCATTGCTGTGTGTGACAACTCAGAGGGCGTGCCTCGAGTGCGCAAATAGAGCTAGCCGACCACTCCCTCTGTCTGTGCACGCCCACATGTGGGAGCTTCTGCGTCGCTCAGCATGCAATTCCGGCAGAGCACGCGCTCCAGAAAGAATGCCATTGCTGCACGTTCGCACACATTGCCATGTTGCTGGCATTCATCGCTCATAGCTGAACCTGCCGCAGGAAGGAGCGCGAGTGTGGGCTTGGGCAATCTCCTCTTGGATCGTGCGGCTGTGTCCTTCGTTGCAACACAGCTATCCAACCTTTTCGCAACTCGAGCTGCCAGGAGGCAGCAGACGTTTTGTTGCGAAATCTGCGATGCATACATTTGAAGACGCCGCCGAAGCGCCATGACACAAACAGATTCTGGGTGCAGGACCTTTACGCTGCAAATACGCTGCTTGTGGGTATTGGCCAATAGATTGGCACACACATTGGCGATATGTCTTGAGGCAAGTGGTGCTAGCTGACGCCACGAGGAACTTCATGGTGCCTTGGGTTGAGAAAGGCACGGAGCCATTCGGGCCTAAGCCAGCTGCAGGCTGCTACTGTGGCTGGCAGACGCAGGGCTCACAACTTCTCAGTTTGCAGCAGCAGCAACGCCGCGATGCAGCAACGGCGAAACCTGACAGGACTTATTCTTTCCAGGCTGGCGCGTGGGGACTCAAATCAATGATGCAGTCTTGGTCTAGCATCTGCTTCAGTGACGGCTTCGCAGCAAGGTAGCTGGTACCAGGTTGCTTGCAATGCGATAGGTTCATACTTGCAGGACAGTTTCATCCTGAGGAACAAGGTGTTGCCTTGACTTGAACAAAGCACGCAGCGGTTCGGTGTTAGCAGCTTGGCTTTGCCAAGAGCATCGCGTCAAGCTTTACTTGCGCCCTTCTGGTGCGCTTGGCAAACGCAGTGCTGCTGGCCTGCCCATGTGCTCATTTTGAGAGTCCGGCAGCGGCGCGACTTCCGGCTGTCTAGCATTTTCTTCAGTGACTGGCTTCGCAGCAAGGTAGCTCGAAACAGGTTGCTTGCAATGTGATAGGTTCATACTTGCAGGACAGTTTTATGATGAGGAACAAGGTGTTGCCTTGACTTGAACAAAGCACGCAGCGGTTGGGTTTTAGCAACTTACCTGTGCCCACAGCTTCGTGGCAAGATTCAACTTCAGACTACTGCTGCGGCGGGCAGACGGTGTGCTACTGGCCTGTGCACGCGCTCAAATGTGTGGAGTTGGACGCCATGCCTTGCAGCACTTACGCTTTC